GCAACCCACTGTGCTGGCAATCCTGCTTCTCAATCATGGGAAGCCCACTTGGCCAAGGCTCTCCAAGTAGGCACCACTCTGAACTCGGAGAAGCGTGCTCAGAATGAAGAGTTTGGTGACCCAGTCATTGCAGTTGAGAAGGTGCATGAGATTGCTTCGTGTGACCAAGTGCCTGAGGCAACCCACTGTGCTGGCAATACTTTTTTTGACCCTGATTCTCAATGGGAAGACGACAAGCTCAGTGCAAGTGAACATCGCTTTCTCAGGAAGATGGACCAGATCACATCATGCAAACACGTCAACATCGTCGACACGATGGAGACAATGCCGATGATGTGTGATGTAGCAAGCTCTATGGCTGATGTGAGGGAACCTTCCACAGTGCATGAGATCTCGGATGATGAGAGCACAGCACAGTTGTTGCGGGCAAAGACTTTGAAATTGGGAGAGACGGAGGAAGGCTCTCAAGCTGTTGAAGTGGTCACTGTAGCTAAGCAGGCCACCCCACAGCGATGGGTTCCTGCACAAGAAGAAGACCTTTCTCTTCCAGCTCAACTTGGTCCTCTTTATGCTGGAGTGGAGGCGGGGCTCAGCTATGTAAATAACTGTCTTGCATTGCTTTTTGAATCATTGAAGAGTTTGCTTCAGCAACGCGGTCCATCATACCAGACACCCGTATTAGTCGTCAATCGATTCAGGTGAGTCATGTTCCTGAACGAGAGATCCGATCTATCTCACCTGTAGCTTGGCCGCAGGCTCTAAGCAACCACTTGTTGCGAGTTCCTTCAATGGGTGCGTTACCCCATTTTCGCCTGACACCACAGGAGCGTTATGAGCAGCTGCGCAAGTCACACGAAGATAAGCCTGACCCCTTGGCAGCCAACCCTCGGTGCATCAAGGTCATCACAACCGTTGACCGGAACAAGGACGACCATGGCATGGCTTTGCTTGAAGATGTGGGCACCATGGTGGAAGCTGAAGAACCCCCTCCGTACGCTGAGCAGGGGAAGCCTCGCGGTCGGAAACCCGGCTCAGGCTCCAAGAAGGGTTCTGCGAAGAAGCCCAACCAAAAGAAGACCAAGAAGACCAAATCGCCCAAAAATTGCGATGGTCAGGAGCCAGAGGAGTCTGAGGAAGCAAAAGATTTGGAGGCCGCTTCCTCGCACAAAGTGCAAGCCAGGAAGTCAAGAAAACCTCGGGCCAAACCAGGTGCCAAGAAGCGTCAGGCAAAGAAGGATGCCGGTTCCGAGGGCGCTGACTTGGAGGCACTGGACGTGGCTGAGGACACTGAAGGAGTGTCAGAGCCTACTTCCACAGTCAATCCAAGCCATAAGAAACCAGGCAAGCGCCGTGGCTGCAAAGCAGGCCCAAGGCGGCAACAGCGGGCAAAGAAGAACACTCACAATGC